TCGTGTCGCATGGCGAAGGAGAAAGAGTTGTCTGCCTGCAACGGTGCAACTATCGACTCCGAGACTACTTGAGAGTTGCGGCGGGGCTGTCGCGTAAAAATCACGCCTATACCACTGCGCGCCGTCGTCTTTGTTTCATTCACTGGTGCTGCGTGTTGCGTTACGAGCGTGTACGCACGCACTCGAGTATGAAGCTCCATCCGTTCAAGGATAAGAGGTCAATCGAGGAGGTGAGACGAGTAGAAAGGCGATAAATTTTTGTGGAAAGAAGTCAGAAAGAACTGAGAAATTGTTCAAGACATTAAAAAGAATTCTTACAATCGAGCTGTTAATTGGAAAGTCTAGACTGGAAAATCTCTTTATATCCATTGCTAGTGTTGTGTAAATTAATAATAAAATAATCAAATGTAATAATAATTAAAATAAAGAACCATAGCAATATTTCAGTTAATAATAAAATAAAACGATTAAAACAGTTTCATATATTCTTCAATTTTGAATTAGTTTCTCTTTTATTGTTTCTATTGATTATTTTGTCGTAATTTAAAATTATTTATATCTCTGTAATTCCTGTAAATACGTATGTATATAATTTACATTTTCACGCTTTTGATAATTCACGTTTTGAAACATTATTTAATTTTTAATTATTGTCTTTTCTTTATTGTGTTTAAGACTTAACTAAAATAGTATAGTTAAGCAAATAAAAAGAGAGTTAGAGAAAGATTTCTTCGATCTCGTATGTACGTCGCTTGACAATTCAGTGATTTCCTGTCTAATTTCATTTCAAATGATTGATTCAACGTCGTTAGAAAGTGACCGATTTAGAAATCCAATAAGTATTTCACGTTTGGTCACATTCAAATTAATTGACTGACAAGTTGCCAGATAAAAATAACAACGAGCAAATTTTCCGAGATCTTTAAAAAGTCCACAAAAATACGTGTAATACATAAAAATTTACAAAATAACCAAAGTGAAATGTTTGCTATAATAATTCGCGGGTATTTCGATTTCTATCAATATAAAATTGCACGATCACATAAAATATAATATATTTTACGTAACAATCCTGATTCTGTATATAAAAATATAATACTACAGCGTGTTCAAATAATTCTCGCTACTAATTTATTACTACCTTATTAATAATAAATATTAATAAAATAATAAAAAAGAATGACTAAAATCTAAGTAACTTTCCCAATATCAACCCATGGAAGATACCCATGACCGTCGAACAAAGACGTTCTATTTAACACGAGGATGTTAATAGCGATTCATTAAGGAACAAGGAGGATCCACGAGGCCATCGCGCTTTATTTGGCGAACGGACGAAAGCCGAACGCCACGTCACGCCAAATTTCGTAAGAGGCCAGTGTCTCAGTGCCTTCGAATTCAATGGACTTTTAATCAAGCCGAAGGACGCGTAGTACTCCACGTAGTATAGCCGCCGTGTAATTTCACGGTCGAGAGAAAACGAGGGTACTACGACGTACTCGAGCGAGCAGCTCATCCGCGAGAACGGAAAGGAAACAGTGAGAGCCGTACGTGTATGTAACGTACACGGTTGCCTACGATCGGGAACGATAACGTTCTCGCATTTTGCTGTACAGAGTGATTCACGCAACTGTAAGACGCGATATCTTGTTGTTGGTTGAAATTAGAAGAAAATAATGGAAGGAGGAGAAGACAATCATCACTTGCACATACATTGTAATTTTATACATTATTCTTTGAAACGGAGAACTTCTCCGATCTGAATATTGAATTGAAAAATGTTTCAATCTTAATTCGTTATATACAACAGCTCTGTTGCTTTTCATAAAAATAAAATTAAAATACTTTCTAAATTTATTATTTTATGTTTAGACCATGTTTTTTGTATCTACGTATTCTGATTTCCATCTGAAAAAAAAAAA